CAACCATTCTTGACTCGAGCAGATGATTATTACGACATCATACACGTGCAACAATAACAATAACCAGAAAATTTTAGGGTATTGCAATCAGCTTCAGCTTTTATAAAATAGACAATCAGGTTCTGGAATCCAAGTAATCTCACTCATATTGCATCTAATATATATACAATCTTTCAAGGTAATGGAGGAAAGATACGGGAATGTGAGGAAATAACAGAATCCTGCATATACTTGTTGGGACGGTCGGGGTCTGGAACCCAAGAAATCTCACTCATATTCGGGGTCTCCACAAAAACCATGGTGAATTCTCCCACCTTCTTTATAGCTCCTCTCCTGCCAGCTCTCAAAACAAGATTGTTGTTCCTGTTGTAAGAAAAGATGCCACTAGCCAGATGGATTATGTCACCAGGCTCGAAGGCATCACACTCATCACCCCAGAATTGGAAGTGAACTGAGGCAGTCTCGTCAGCCACAAGTGCCAAGCAGGTCTTGTTCTGCCCCTCCGATATTTTTCTGCCTTTGTCCAAAACTATAAACCGTGTGTTAATGTTGTTTTCAGCTGCAGGCACTATGTCTTTTAGACAGATCATCCTTCCTTCTCGATCCATCAACGTAGTAGAGCTCTCTTCAACCTGTAACTGATATAATTAAGGAGGAAGCACGATGTCGTGAAGAAAGAAACATAAGCTAGGGTTTAAGATAAAAGTATCTCTCTTTTCTTTTGATCATTTACACAAACACCTAGAATTCATAATCCTAAACTAATGATAAGTAAATTTAGGTAGACATCAACTCTTCTAATTTGTTAATAACACTTAACTGGACATTCATAAACATGCAAAGAAAAGCAATAAAAAAATAAAATAAAAATTTATTTTTTTAAAAAATATTTTCCAAGCGTAATGTCAAAGTGATTGGCAGCTGGCCATGGCCGTGCAAACTGGAGCAGGCATCGAAGCCCGCCCAAATTGAACAGCCCATCTCAAGGCAGAATAGACAACCCATGACAGCACACGAAACATGGGACCCATCAGAGCAGAAAAGGCCCACACCTATAAATCAATACAAACATCCCGCCAGTTGCAGCCCATTCAAAGGGGGTGTGCCTGAGTGTAGGGAAAACTCACCGAGAGAGAATGGAAAAGAGCGACGCACGACACTGTATGAATCCACGGTGAAAAGCTCCCTTAAGAAATGAAGCAAAAATTACAAGCAAAACAGACATACAGGGAAAATATGAGCTAAAAAATGGAGGCGGACAACAAGAGTGGAACCAAGAAAAGAAAAACAAGAAAAGATGCAAACAACAACAATAAAGAAGAGAGTAGCCAGGGGAGACGTGGGATAGCAGAGAACACATAAAAAATAACATGTTCAAGCCCCTTTATAATGTTACCAACAAGTTACACTCTTCAGATCAATAATTCACGTCCTTTTAAGAAATAGGTCACACAAAGATTCCTTTAAGATGTAGATTTTACAAATTACAGCCATATCGAGGATGATTCATGAAAGGCTACTTACTAGCTATAAGTTGCTGGAGCTAGGGAGGACAGGCGCAGCTGCCGCTGCTACCACCGGCGGGTCTGCTGCCGGCTGGAGAGGAGAGTTAGAGGAAGAGATGAACCAGGCAGATGGAAAGAGAACAAACCTAAATTTTCCTATATAAAGAGATGGTATAAATGTAATTTTCTAAAGTTTTTAGGTCATTATTGATTCTCGGATGAGGTTTCGAATCAGGTAGATACCATGCTCGAAACCCAACCATATAACTTCTAAATTTTACCCAAATCCAAGCTATCCATAGATTTTTCACCAATGTAAATCAATCTAAAATCAGATCCGGAGTAAAATTGACAGCCGCATCCGGAAGAGTGAGGAGATAGATATCCAAGTATCCAACAATCAATTGGGCCAAAGACAGGAACCTCGCTAACCGTCCGTCAGTGCTGTACGAGGCAGCGGTTGGTTGTAGTAGGGTCAAAATCAAACAGCAAGACAGAGGGATCAATGAAACATAACTAAGAAAACTGGGAATCTAAGCACTAAACAGAGTAGATTCTTGCAAAGCCAGCTCTAAAAGGGAAATGGGTTTGACTAGCAGGTACACAATCCAACAAGAGCAATCTCTTGCATCTCTATCTGCACCAGCTGTATTATATAATTTTGTTTTGTAATCTAACCTACCAATCAAAAGTAGCAACTCTGAATTTCGCAACTCCTGATACACTAACAGCAACCCCCCCCCCCTCTCTAAAAAAAAATGTTTCTTTTAAAAGGTTTTTCTTTTTAAGTGGGTTTGTGTATTTTTGTATTTTTTCTTTATATTTTTGTTTTGATTACTGACTCTTCAACAAGAAAGTTTAATTCTTTACAAAATAAACTGATTATCTTCTAAATCCCAGTTGGATTTTCCTCAAAATCTAAGTTCCCCAAATTCATTGATGTGCCTGTCTCATTTGAGTCATGTTTCTAGATGAATATATTATCATGCTTGAATCATAGGCCTCTATGTCAATCCTCTGTGGCGTTCCAATCCTTGAATGCGTGTACTGCCTTGGCTGTGCTCGTTGGCTATGGAAAAAATGCCTATACTCTGCTGGTCATGAAAGTGAGAACTGGGGCTTAGCCACAGCTGAAGAATTCGCACCTGTGCCACGCCTTTGTCGCCTAATCCTATCTGTCTATGAAGATGATCTTCGCAACCCACTTTGGGCGCCGCCGGGAGGCTATGGTATTAACCCTGACTGGGTAGT